GACCTGAGATGACATGATGTGAATTGGAGCTATAGAAATAAACTGAATAGAACTGAATTCTATTCTATATAAAAGTCTGCATGACAAGAATAAATCTTTAACCTGCAGAATCTTTCAGCTCCAACGACCCTGAAGCTTCAAGGTTTTTCTAGTTCAGAAATAAAAGCAGGTTGTGTTGAACTATTCAGTCTCTGCAGACTGTTGACCAACAGGAGGCGCTGTAGCTCAGCAGGTCAGAGCATCAGGATCAGCAGAATATCAACAATCAACAACAGAAGGTCTTATGATTGGACAAGCTAATAATTACATCATAACTCGGAACCCAGTGAGTCCTGGTTCTGCTGGATTGGGTTAAGAGGGTCCAGATGAAGATGTTTGATTCAAACATCTTCATCTGTTTTCCTGCAAAACAAACCATCATAAGGATAAAACTCTGGTTGCTAATTCATCCTGATCAAATCCTTTTCATTTAATCAATTCCTCCTTTAATCACAAAACTGTGAGAAGATTTAAAATCCTTTAACTGCATCAAACATTAATTAAACAATCTATATTCCTGTATGTATGAGAGCTTCTGCTCCTCTGCTGTCTTTCTTCTGTTCAACGCTTTGAAATATAAACATGAATAAATTAAATAATAACAACAATAATGATAGGAAGCATCCTTCATCATCTTCCTCTTCCTCACTAGCAGGCCTTCTTCCTGTTTGTGAGACCATGATGGACCGATGATGATGATGATGATGATGATGAAGGATGTCCTGCTGAGCAGAAACAGCTGCTGCAGTTACTTATCTGTCCAGCAGATGGCAGCAGACCTGCTCTAATCAAACGGATCAACTTTCAGAAATTGTTTTTTTCCCTTCCTGTCGGAAGATCTCAGGATTTTATGATTTTTTTTTGAATAAACTGTTCGTTAATTGAATAGCTGTATAATTTACTATTGATTTATTAAGAAAAATAAACATCATAAAAACTAAAATTTCCTTTAAAGCTGCTTCTGCTGCTGTTTTCCAGCACAAAGGATCCAGTTTTTAGATTAGATTAGATTGAACTTTATTGTCATTACAAAGGTTCAGGTTCAAGGCAACGAGATGCAGTTTAGGTCTAACCAGCAGTGCAACAGCAGCAATGCGGAATAAATAATGGTTCCATAAATACAGGACATGGGTTATACTGAATGAGTATAGAGATGAATACTATTATAAATAACAAATATAATATATAGATCACTAGTGTTATGAACTAAATTTACAGCTGGATATGAAGTAAATATAATATACAGTTCAACAGATTATTAGAACCAGATTCATGCAGAGTTTATAAATAAAGTTGATCCACAGAGACTCAGAGGCTTTGATGAGTCAGCAGAAACCCTGGAGTCATTGGGGACAATAACCCCCCCCCCCAAAACAATTAGCAGGCAGGAGACAAATTCCTCGCTCAGCTGATCTCCTCAACTTTGAACAAACATGATCCATCAGGCAGCTGCTTCACTTTATAAACCTTAGATTTTAATCCTGCAGATTATTCTGCTTATTATACACTTTTAACATCCCATTAGATTACAGTCTGCTTTCTTTTTATTTTTTAGCACAAATAAGAGATTCTAAAATCAAATATCTTCACCTTTGAGCTGAAATTTGTCCTTAAATCTGATTTAATCAGAACCAGAAGGAAAGCAGGAAGAATCTATTTGCTGCTTTTTACTGATAAAGATGAAAATAATCCTCCTGTTTTCCTGAAGAGCAGCGAGAAACAACCAGAGAAGGAATCAATGTTTAAATAATAAATGAGATCAAATAGAATCCATGAAAACAAAAGCAGGAAACTTTTTAAATGATCGATGAAATCAGCTGCTTTAATCTGAGATAAGGTAATGTGAGTTAGAGCTATAGAAATAAACCAAATAGAATCAAATCTTTATGTGTGTTTTTCTCTTGATTTCAGGATCCAAACTTTCTATCTTTGTTCTCAGTGTTTGTGTGGAAATATTTATTATTTAAAGCAGAAGAAGAAGCAGGAAGGGAAGATGGAATGAAAAGGATTAAAGAAGCTGAATGTGTTTATTTCCAGGATTATTGCTGATCGTTCGACACTTAAACTCTTAGTGAGAAGAAAAAACTAAAATCTGGTTATGATTTGTAGTAATGATGTCATGTTTGGTTCAGCAGGATCAGAAACCTGTGATGATAAAACAGCTAAAACTGAAACGAGCAGGACGGGAAAAACGAGGCGCCGTGTTTAGTGACACGAAGAGACTCCAAACTAAACAGAAATAAGCAGAAATATCACACCGAAAAATAAAGCAATATCTCTTTAAATCAGAGATTTCCCTCCTTTCAGCAGGAAAGTGAGACGAGCTGCTAATAAAAAACAACATTTCTGCCTTTAGAATAAGAACATTAAATATAATAAACTTAAATTAAGATGAGGGAAACTGATTTTTTTTCTTATTTAAAGCATAAATCACCTTTTTTCCGCTGGCAAATAGTTACTAACCTGCTAAATTACTGATAAAAAATACTTATTTCAGGATAAATCTGACTTATTTATATTCAAAATGAAATAAAAAAGGAAGAAATTGATCAGAGAGAATAAATATTTATTGTCATTATTTCGTATGAAGGATGTTCAGTTCCGGGTTTGATTCCCGGCCTGCATGGAGTTAGCA